GTGGGGTGACAGGGTGATGGGGTGACATGTTGACCAGCTGTTCTCCCTTTTGCTCTCGACAGGAGCAGGAGGAAATGAGCCGACATGTCTGAGGGCAGCCGGGGGAGCTCGCTGGCTTTTGGCCAGGTGGTGATCGGGCCTCCAGGCTCTGGGAAGACAACCTACTGCCATGGGATGCAGGAATTCCTGGGCAGGATGGGGCGCAAGGTGGCCGTGGTCAACCTGGACCCTGCCAACGAGACGATGCCCTACCAGTGCTCCCTGGACATCGCCGAGCTCGTCACCCTGCCCGACGTCATGGAGAGCTTGAGGCTGGGGCCCAACGGGGGGTTGATCTACTGCATGGAGTACCTGGAGGCCAACTTCGACTGGCTGCAGGAGAAGCTGGCTGCCTTCAGGGGTCACTACTACCTGTTTGACTGCCCGGGGCAGGTGGAGCTCTACACCCACCACCACGCCCTGAAGAACGTCTTCGCTCAGCTGGCCAAGTGGAATTTCAGGGTAGGTTTGGGGCTCCACGTGGTCACAGCTTTTCATTGTGGGTGCTGATGACTCTTTGCTTCACTTACTTGCTTGCTCTTTCAGGTGAAACAGCTTTATCAGGGAAACAGGGGAATTTTGCCCCATTTTATGCTCAGATTGGCAAAAGAGAGGTTTGTTCAGGGCGGGATGATCCTGGACAGAAGTGTGACCTTTTTCTCCCACTCTCCCTGTGCTCCAGGACCCTCCCCACAGACCCTGTGTGTCTTATCCTCTGTGATTTGGAGCTCTGAGAAGCTGGGGGTCACCTGGGGCCCTGCCTGGCTGTCCCAAGGCTGAGCTGGGTCGCTCTGCACGCTGCAGGACGTGCTCTCTGCTGTCTTGCACAACGGGAGCTGTGGGTGAGGAGAGTCCCACAGCCCAGCTGACTCACTCACGCTGCCTTTGGTTTGTGCTTGGGCCAAACCATGAAGGCACAAACCCTCTGTGGTGTGAGCAAGAAGGGCAGGTTCATTTGCTTGAGAATGTCACTGGGAATCTGCACATTAGAGGCGATTTTTATTCAAATAAATGTAGGTGAGGTGGTAGGTACTAAAAAAAGATGGTCCCACTGCTGTTTTGATGCTGGCTGGAGTCCTTACACCTGCCTGTGAGCTTTAAACTGGCTTCTTTTCTGCTGCAGAAGCATAGCTGTGACTCAACCACCTCCCTCTGACTTGGAGTAAGGTTGTGTAACAGGCAGTAACTTAGCAGAGACCTCTCACCACGTTGCCAGGGCTGCAGAAAACACTGGGAATCAAACTGCTCGTTAATTTAGGTATTAATGATTATTTCAAACCACAAGAGAATTGGCTCTCCCAGCAGAGTGTGGCGTGCTGCAGTTACTGCTCCCCAGAGCATGTGGGGCAGGAGAGTTCCTGGGGGGAATGTGGAAATCCAGAGGCAGTCCTGGCCTTCAGGAGGAGAGTTCACCCCAGTTCCTACCCCAAAAAAACCAGCAGAGCTCAGACAAGTGTGGAAACTTCATCTGCAAAGGAAGAAGTGCTGAGAAAAGGGAGAGAAGTTGCAGGTTTCAGTATTTTCAGTACTGCTGGTGGAGCTCAGCAGCCTCCTAAGTGGCCTTGCAGCCCTTTCTGTGCACCAGCACCCTGGGTCCTGAATCCTCCAGGTGTGGACGTGCTGATAGATGCATCTATAGATGTATCTGCACTCATCCATGAGGATATTTTATACACAAGAGCTAGAAGGTAGGTGGAAACATTCTCTGTGTGAGACCCTGTGTGGTTATAGTCAGGTCTGAGCAGATTGTCCTAGAGCCACTTCTCAGACTGTCTCCAAAACAAGCTCCTGGACTCATCCTGGGTCTGACCTTGTGCTGTCCCTTTGTGCCCATGCTGTCCCAGCTGGCTGCAGTGCATCTGGTGGATTCTCACTACTGCACAGACCCTGGCAAGTTCATCTCTGTCCTCTGCACCTCACTCTCCACCATGCTGCACGTGGAGCTGCCCCATGTCAACGTCCTCTCCAAGATGGACCTGATTGAGCAGTATGGCAAGCTGGGTAAGAGGGACACACGTGGAGCTGGGCTGGGTCAGTGCAAACCAGCTGCTCATGTCTGGGGAAGTATTTCTGGGAGATCCCAGCATGGTGGGGTTGGGAGGGACCTCTGGAGATCATCTCATCCAACCCCCCTGCTCCAGCAGCTCACCCCCAGCAGGGTGCCCAGGGTCACAGCCAGGAGGGCTTGGGATCTCTCCAGAGCAGGAGACTCCACAGCCTCTCTGGGCAGCTGCTCCAGGCTCTGCACCCTCCCAGCACAG